CATCATATTTTTCATGATAATTTTCAAAAGCAAATAAAATAGCATTCACTATAAGTCTACTACATCCTACAAATATATTAAAAAGCACACGATTAATGAATTCAAAGAAATAATTAAAGCGATTAGTGATAGTTATAAAACTGAAAGTATGATAGAGGAATCTAATATGTTGTATCATTGTTGGACAGATAAACATTTGGTTGAATCCCAGTGTGATGAAATTTCGTTTGTTGATTTATTGCGAATAGTATCCTGCGATTTTTCATAATATACTTAATGTTTGTATATCACTGCCTCCGACAACGTGCACAATAGAAAGATCGTTCAGTACATTGAGAAGAGTAAAAACGTGGCTTCGGTCGACTAGAGGTGAAGATCATTTAAATGGGCTGTGTACGATGATCCTTCATCGTAATAAGGAGTGAACATAAACAAGGATATTTTCGTTGGGAATGTCATTAATATGTTTGGAATAATACGAAAAAATTTGCAGTTCTTATTTACTGATACTGAATAATATATTTGATAGGATTATTTAATTATATATTTCTTTTTCTATGCCCACTTTTTAATATATTTTTTAACTACCTAAAAAAAAAAAAACAAAACCTAATTTCTGGTCAGGTGGTACTGCTGGGAGCCTCCTATTAATGTTATTTTATGTCGCATGTTCTTATGTCACCACACTTACTTATTATACTTTGTGTGTTGTATAAATTGTAAATACCTATACTTTGTAAAATAAATAAAAAAATAAAAAAAACAACTAACTACTTATACAATATATACAACAATACAATTATAATTTATTAATATTTAGCATAACAGCATATATTTTATATGAATATGTGAAAATAACATTAAATCTTTATTACATCTAACATTTGAGAAATGTTTGTATAAAATGTTATGTAATTTGCCAATTTGGTTAGTAAACAAATAGCGTACACGTTGACCATAATAGACAGTTCGCAAGACAAAAGCACATCGCGTCATTGTGCAGTCCACGCTGAACCGCGTTTACCGAATGCAAAAAGTTTTCGGAAATTCCTACGTTTTATTTATTTATTTTTTTGTGTAAACTGGAACGAAACGACACCCTTACCACCCCGTCATTGGCCATTGAAATTGGAAAACTTTTGCACTGTTTCTTTCGAATAGAAGGAGCTCGTGTATATATATGTATGTATTGTTATTAATTGTATTGCCAGCCGTAACTTGTCGGCACGACTGAATAATTAGGTATTATTGTTTACAGTTTGAAAATTGATTCTTGTCCATCGCAATCCGTTCTCGGTTTCTCATTTCACTTTTTACTGAGGGTTAAACAAGATGCATAAATGGTGGTCGGGGGGTTAAATCGTGTTTCTTACCTAGATAAACCTTATAAATGTAATATTGATGTTATATTCAAAGAACAATGTAGTTATTTTACTTGTAACACATACCATACAAGAACATAGTGCCAATATACGAATTCGAAATGGCACAACAACTATATTTCTACACTAGTTGTATTAATACATGATGTCCTGTGAGGATTTATCCATTGTCATATCTCTTGAAATAATGGAGATATCATAATTCCGTTTTTTAATGAGACTCGCAGGGACAATGACTACAAATACATAATATTTTAATTTAATTTAATGTTTTGGTAAAAAAAAATTATTTATAAATTATTTAGCCATTTCATACAGTTTATTTTTCTGAAAATGTTGACGTTTCAACATTTTATTATTATGAACGCCATGATTTAAAATATATTTTTTTTTAGTTTTGAACACTGTTTTGTATTACAATATTGTAGAACAAGTTCTGAACAACAAATAATTAAATAAGTCTTATCAGACAACGAGACAAGATAATATCAAAACCTTAAACTAATGACTATGGATTAATTATTAATTCTCAATTTATCTCGACATAAAATAAATTTTTTTTTAAATCATGGGGTCAGTTATTAAAATAAAATGTTGAAACGTCAAAACTTTCAGAAAAATGAACTTCACAAAAGTCTATGTGTTCGCGCCACGCGAAGTATCTATTCTATAATATTTCTTATTATATTTCTTAATGGTATTATATTTATGTAAAACTGACATCACACTGGGCAGTCAGCCAACTAGTTGTGTGCATAATATGATGAGATCCGGAATACAGTCGGTCGGCACTATCGTGAGTCGTTCGTCACGAATAAAATGTTGCACCAAGCACATTTGACGTCGGGAGACGTACGACTGTATCGGCCGGATCTATATATTATGTACGGCGCGGGTCAGATCGGTTCGGTCACAAGGGACACCGGTTGCAATAATGTACAGTTACATAATTGCTCAAACGAATCTTATTGATGACCCGCGTATTCGTCAAAGAATTAATAAATAAGCACACGACGACAGAACGCTGTGGGCGTGGCTTCGAGAGCAGCAGCGGCCAACCAGCGTTATCGCCGCCATTCAACCCCGCCCAATCACCAACCACAGACATTTCATGGGCGGCTCCTGCGAGCGAGACCAGGGTATAAATGCCAGTGCGGAGCACGAAATGGGCAGTGTGTTCAACGGAGCCTCTGAAGCAAGACCTACCCAGGCAGACTTGCACAGAGACTTCAAGCAACTTATAAATTATAATAATTTATTTACTTAGCAAATAAAACCAATTACAAAATTATACAGTCCACCGTTATTTATTTTCCTCGCCGGAACATTGGTCATCTTCGGACCGGATTAAAATGGCTGCCGAACTTAAAGATCTCATCGGTCGTCGGGGAGTTATGAAAAGGCAAATCATTGCTTTTCAAAAATTCTTTGACAGCAACAACTTCACAGATGCATCAACAAGAATGGAACTAAGCATGTATCATGTGAACCACGAGACTTGAAGCTTCTTACGGGGACTTCCTCGCTGGTCAAACTCAGATAGAGTTATTGGATTCCCGTGAAGAGCAGCTGGCAGAACGCTCAGCTGTAGAAACAGCCTACTACGCAGCAATATCACCGCCTATGGTACTTCCTGAGGCAGCTCAAACAAATCTAAGGAGAGCAAGCCAAAGCGCAGCAGAGTATATAAGACTGCCCAACACTGAATCAGCCATCAGACTACCGCCAATCTCATTGCCGGTTTTTGACGGAACAAGGACCTCTCGGAATTCAGAAATTGCACTATCTCAAACCCTCGTTGCGAAATGAAGCGGCACAAGTCATCGAATCGTTGGAGACAACAGCTGCGAACTATTTACCCGCCTGGGAGCAGCTGCGTGAGCGATATGACAACCATCGTAAAATGGTCGGAGGGCACATCCACGCACTGTGCAGCATGCCATCAATAACGAAGGTTTCATCAGCCATTTTGAGAAGTCACCAGAACGGTATAAATAGTCACCTGCGAGCGTCAACGGCCCTCAAACTTCCGGTAGAACGTTGGGACGCCATAATCATCCACCTAATGGTAGAAAAATTAGACGTCGAATCCCACCGTTTATGGGAAAGTAGCCGTTCCAGCGCCTCACTTCCTTTAATACAGGAATATCTGTCATTCCTTAATGAGCAGTGCAACTCAAAACTACACAAGGAATATGTCCACTTCATGCGCTAGTGCATTAACCTTGGTCATATGAAGGAAGACCCTACATCAGGCCAGGCGCATCAGCAGAAGGTATTCCTGCCGCACCATAGCGTCATCAAGGCTGACAGCGAAACAACGAAGCTCCGAGTGGTGTATAGGACGATCTCTTTGCAATCACTGCTCGGTTCAGGATTCACCGGTATGTTTTCCCCGGGGACATGGAAAAATTGTATCGACAAATAAGAATAATGGAATCACAGACTCACCTTCAAGGGATATTTTGGAGGAAGAATCCGGAACAACCTTTAAAGGTTTTTACGTTGCAAACGGTTACTTACATCACTTCTTCAGCCCCTTACTTGGCCACTCGAACCCTCGCTCATGATGACGGTTTCAAGTTCCCATTAGCAGCCACAGCCGTCAGCAAGGATTTTTATGTGGATGACGTGCTGACCGGCACTGATACATTGACAGAAGCTTTAGAACTGCGAGATCAATTGATCCAATTATGTGATGGCGGCAAGTTTAAATTCCGCAAGTGTTGCGCAAACCATCCTTCCCTTCTGAAAAACCTCCCTCTGGAGGATCTCTGAGAAATTCATAAGTTCACTCACGAACAAAACAACAGCTCGACAAAAACATTGGGCACATATTGGCAACCCCGTGACGATGAAATACATTACATTACGAGATTGTTCAATGACACCAACACATGGACAAAGCGTAGAATGGTTTCTGAAATGGCCAGATTATTCGACCCTCTAGGGCTTATAGGGCCAGTGGTGGTTCAAGCAAAATTCTTGTGCATGAACAGTGGCGCGAAAAAATTGGTTGGGTCACCAAGCTACCAGATGACCACCATAAAAAATGGGAAGGGTATTACAACCATTTCATATATGTAAAGGAAATACGAATACCCCGTCGAGTAATCCAAGTGAGTGAGCCCACTGATCTTCAATTGCACATATTCTGCGATGCATCAGAAGCCGCATATGGACCCTGTGTCTACATTAAAAGCAAGGGCAGAGACAATGTCATCAGCTGTAAACTGTTATGCTCACGATCCCGTGTAGCAACACTAAAGGTTACCACCATACCACGCCTTGAACTCTGCGCTGCTCTACTGGCGTCGTGTCTCGCAAACAAGATCACCGCAGCTGTACCGCTTACATTTTCAAAACGTGTGATCCGGAGTGACTCTACCATAGCCCTGGCATGGATTAAAAAATCACCAAGGTAGCAAACAGAGTAGCAGAGATTCAGGAGTGCACCATCAGTTATTCTTCGCACCATGTAGGCACAAATGACAACCCGGCCGACCATTTCAGCCGAGGCTTAAATCCACAAAAAAACAAAAAAATTGCAACGCATGGTGGCATGGACCTCTCTGGCTCCAGGCAGACGAACAGCAATGGCCTAACGCTGAAGTTGCCATGTTGCAATCAGAGATCCCTGAACGCAGATCTCAAATCACCATCTCCTTGAAGGCATCTACGGACCTCAACATGGCAATGTTGTATAACCAATTAGAAACGCTACAGCGAATAATCGCATGTTGCTTGCGATTTAAGTACAATTGCCGCTCGAAAAACGAATCCATGTATGGACCCATAACTGCAGGCGAGCTTCAAGGCACGCTGAATTTACTTCTAAAACAGGCTCAGAAGTGGTATTTTCTGGAAGAAATGCACCTGTTAGCTCGGGGTCAACATATCCGAACCAGCAGTAAGCTGAGGTCTCTGACCCCATTCATTGATGCAGCTGGGATCCTGCGAGTTGGTGGCCGGTTACAACATACGCATGCGAGTTTTGATGAACGCCACCCCATTATACTCAATGCACATGATCAACTCACAAGGCTGCTAGTCGATTACGAGCATCGACAATTGATGCACGCTGGACCCCAACACCTATTGGCTTCACTCCAGCGGCGATATTGGATATTCGGTGGACGAAATGCAGTGCGTCTTCACACGCACAGGTGTATGAAGTGCTGCAGATGGCAAATCAGGGCAGCGGCTCAATTGATGGGACCTTTGCCAGCCGCCAGGGTGAACCCATCTCCAGCATTTTATGTCACAGGCTTCGATTGCGCTGGTCCAATATCCATAAGGCATGGAGAAATAAGGAGCAGGGTCCTCACCAAGGCACCTTTCGTTTGCTTTAGCACTCGTGCCATTCACCTAGAACTGGTATCAGACTTCAGTAGCGTGACATTCCTTGCGGCACTGCGCAGATTCATATCTCGCAGAGGAAGGCCGATTTAAATCCATTCCAACAATGGGACGAATTTTATCGGAGCCAACAGAATATTGGGTGGGTTCCTAAACAATAATTCTCTAAGTAAGGGGATATTAGAATACTCACATCAAGAAGGGATAGACTGGTGATTTATTCCTCCTCATGCCCCCCCCCCCATTTTGGAGGCCTATGGGAAGCCGGAGGTCAATCAACAAAATACCATCTGCGAGGATGCATCGGAGACAGTATACCTTATTTCGAGGAGCTACACACACTACTAGTGCAAATTGAAGCGGTGCTGAATTCAAGGCCCGTGATGGCAGTTTCCGATGATCCTGACTGCCTGGAGGTATTAACACCAGGGCACTTTCTAATTGCCGTCCGTTAACGACTTTCCCAGAGCTGACCCTGCTCAATGAACCGACGGTAAATTGTCCAAGACGAAGATTGGATCTGGTTCAAAGAATGCTTCAGAAATCTTGGCTGCGCTGGCGCCGTGACTATGTTACCTCTCTTCAGCAAGGACCCAATTGGTCAATGGTCAAGGCCCATGGCTAATTTCAAAATAGGAGATTTGGTTATACTAAAGGAGGGCCACCAATCACCTCTGGACTGGCACTTAGGTAGGATCATTCAGCTACAACAGGGAGCTGATGGACTGGTTTGAGTGGCTACTATCAAAACAAGGGGCAGCACTATGAAGCTGCCAATTACGAAACTGGCAATGCTACCTATCCAATATGAACCTTAGTTTGCCGGGGGGAAATATGTTCGCGCCACGCGAAGTATCTATTCTATAATATTTCTTATTATATTTCTTAATGGTATTATATTTATGTAAAACTGACATCACACCGGGCAGTCAGCCAACTAGTTGTGTGCATAATATGATGAGATCCGGAATACAGTCGGTCGGCACTATCGTGAGTCGTTCGTCACGAATAAAATGTTGCACCAAGCACATTTGACGTCGGGAGACGTACGACTGTATCGGCCGGATCTATATATTATGTACGGCGCGGGTCAGATCGGTTCGGTCACAAGGGACACCGGTTGCAATAATGTACAGTTACATAATTGCTCAAACGAATCTTATTGATGACCCGCGTATTCGTCAAAGAATTAATAAATAAGCACACGACGACAGAACGCTGTGGGCGTGGCTTCGAGAGCAGCAGCGGCCAACCAGCGTTATCGCCGCCATTCAACCCCGCCCAATCACCAACCACAGACATTTCATGGGCGGCTCCTGCGAGCGAGACCAGGGTATAAATGCCAGTGCGGAGCACGAAATGGGCAGTGTGTTCAACGGAGCCTCTGAAGCAAGACCTACCCAGGCAGACTTGCACAGAGACTTCAAGCAACTTATAAATTATAATAATTTATTTACTTAGCAAATAAAACCAATTACAAAATTATACAGTCCACCGTTATTTATTTTCCTCGCCGGAACACTATGAATAAAACAAAATGATGATATCTCCATTATTTTAGGAAATATTGCAACAGATAAATCATCACGGAGAACCCCGTACCTATAATATACTATATAGATTATAGACAGTTGTGTGCACTATATAGTATATACACAATAGGTTGTCAAGATATACTATGTAGACAACAGATGGAATTACCAATCTCAATTCTCTGAATTAATTGTTTATTTGGGTCTACACGATTATATAATTAAAATATGATAGTTGCAATCGTGACAACGAATATCATCATAGTATTATAATTTAAGGTTTAACTGAATAAACATAGGCGTATCTTATACTTGAATTTGGAGGCGTTAACATCAGCTCCGCCTAAAATTATTTTTATATACTTTTTTTTACTAAGTGCATAAATAGTTACTTTAAAATGCTTATTTTTGTTAGGTTAAGTTAGGGTTTTACCATCATTGATCTCCTTTACCTATACGAAAGTTATGTATACGCCATACCATAATAGGTACCGGCATCGACTATATTATTATTATAGTCGATAATATATTATGATATTATGTCCAGATAGTATACGTAAAACAAAACAAACCCTTATTAAAACGGTAAACCAACCAGTACATATAATATAATACTTTATACATTACTATATCGGTAAAATTGTTAAAAAGTTGTTGAAAATGTACTAACCTTCGAAAAATATTGTTGTTGATGCACACCGTGCTCCCCCCCCCCCTAAAAAAAAAGTCGGTTTCGTACTTTGCGCACTGTGACATTATTTTCTCGACGTCTCGAGACTCGATTATTGTTCACATTGTTAGCGGATTCTGCACGATTTTTCAACCGAACCGGAAGTTCCCCCAACGCAGCATAACATATTATCTATACATATAAATATATATTATTTAGGGGACATAATATTACAGTAAGTAGATTGCATATTATCGTATAAAAAATAGAACCTATGTAATGTATGGTATACTCTAAATACGGACCATGGTGAATGGCGATAATAACGTGTCAAATGATATCTTCCGTCGCGGTGTCCTTTCGACTTCGAATCCGTTCTAATTTTCGGACATTTGGCATTTCCATAGTACTATTATTATTATGATAATATTATAATTTATAGTCGGCGGCACAACAATAGCCGTGAAGGTTCCGAGTCCCCTCGAGCGCGTATCACCCACCGACCACCCACCGACCACCCACCACCCCTTCACCCAACCAGCGACGACCGACAGTATTGTCCGTTTCGTGGAAGTATTGAGTACCTACCTAAGGACGGGGGAAAAAAATACGAACGGCACGTCACCGTTGCCGCAGCGACACGACATTGATTTCGGAATTCGGTTTTAATCAAAATACTCTCATCGACCGACCCGATATAATAATGTGTTTCACCGTCTTTGTCGCCGTGATACGGAGCGTCTTTCCGGGACGTCCGTGATCGTGAATAACAATGCGTTATGTATCGTTATAGTATCGTTTATTGTATAATCACTAAATAATGTTTATAATGATCGGGGCAAGTTATCCCGGGCCGCGCGGCAGGCTTGAAGAAGCGGCCGCGGCGGGCGGGTTCGGGCCTGAAGAGGCGCGAGCAAAACAATAGTCGGGATTTGCCTATACGTTTCGTAGAAAGAATACAATAATGATAAGGGAGAGTAGGAACCGTCCGTGCACGGACTCGAGCAAGTCGTGTGGGTTCGGTTCTTCCTCGCGGTGAAACTCGAATAAGCTCACCGTAGGGGGGGAACGTGGTATTACTTGTATTGGCTTGCTGAATAGTCGATTGGCCAAGTCACAAAGTCGGTTCCCGGCGTGTCTTGATATTCGTCCAACGGCGTGACTGGACTCGATTGAACGGGTGGACTGACAGTAGTGGATCGTCGGAGTATAATTATATTATACGCTGCCGTCGGTGGGTTAATCAGGTCCCGGTGTGGCGGCTATCCGTTGTCGTCGATTACTGGATGCACACGGTAGGCTTGGTGTCGTCGGTCCGTGAAGTGGCACTTGTTAGCCAGGTATACCGGGTACTGTTGAGTCTCGGCGGTATCGAGCGATCACGTTAGACCGGTGTGTTCAGGGTGCGTCGTCGTGGACTGGCTAGGTCGAATCAGCTTCGCCGGCGTCGTTCAGGTCGGTGTTGCTGCTGCGTCGTTAGTCTTCGGGTCTTCGGGTCTTCAGGTCTTCGGGTCTTCTAAAGTGTTTGTTGACTTGTAGAAGAGATGTTGAAGACTGGTGTGGAAGATGATTTGACCGGTGAACTGTCCCGGTATATATACTATTTGTTTCCCTTTGTTGTCCTGTGATTGGTCGGGAATGGTTGCTTTGATAAGCAATAACCACACCTTGACCCATTGGTGTTCGCTTCGTTAATGTGGTTCTTGCTAGTTATTTCCGTGAAACTTTCCTGTTGGCAAACTACTTATTCTAGTGTGTCGCGTTTATTTCTTGTGTCGCATTATGTTGCCATACTGTTGTGTTTGGTGGTCCTGAAAAGGACCATTTTAATATAGTGACGGTTTATCCCGTTACAGCTCCCCCCCCCAGATTTGTCATCGGGGAAGTAACTGAACCGATGGTAAATGTGTTGAATCGTTAGCGACACGTCTGCGGATTGATGCCTTGTATAATGCCCGTCGAATTGCATTACGAGACATATTCCACAGTGGGGTGTCCTCGTCTGGAGTTGTTATTACTGTTGATTTTTTGTCGTATCGTTGGAGATTGTTTGTGATGTGGTCCATTGCTTGTGCCAGATTGATATTCTTTTCAAATGGTATGTAGTTGTGCAATGTTTTTTCTGTAACGAATCTCCAGTCCCAGGGTTGTTTCCAATGTGTTTCGATGGCGTCTCTGGCCATATTTACGTTTTGTATCCATGTGACGATGTGGTTTATTTTTCGTCCGTCTTCTTTGTTTTCATCTGTTGTATGAATTTTCTGCGCCGTTACTGACGCTAGACCATATATGTTTTCTTTGTTTTCTGTTTTATTGAGCTGTCTTCTTTTCTTTGCTGCCTCTCGTCTTGCCTGTTCTCGTTCTGGGTTGATGGGTGCTATTTCTTGAACTGATGACTATGATTCTTGTTGACTGATCTTATATAGTTTGTGATATACCAAATTCTTGGTTCTGATTCGTCAACGTTGTCATCTCTTTCATTGGCTCCCCTTGTTGTTTTTTATAAATTGTTGTGTTTGTCCATAACATAGTATGGACGAACCTCGGACACGTTAATGAGTTCTTCCCGTCCCGAGTGTATGTTCTTCACGGCTAGCGTGTTTTTACTTATGACTTTGGTTATGATGAATGGTCCGTTGTACATGTGGAATAACTTTTTTATTTCCTTGTTATCTGTATTCGATAAGTGGTGGTCTCTTACTAACACACTTTGTCCCTTTTCATATATTATATTGCTTTGGTTTTTCTTTTTTGATTCTCGTTTTCTTGCTTTTTCTTCGATCCTGGATGCTACAAGTTGTATTATGTCTTCTTTTTTTGATTGTTTCGGCCTCGGAAAGTTGATGGGTTTGCTTCTTTGACAACTGTCGCAATTTTTTATTACTGCCGCC